TTTACTGAAAGAGTGGTTAAACATTGGAGCAGGCTGCCCAGGGAAGTGGTTGAGTCACCATCCCTGGAGGTATTTAAAAGACGTCTAGATGTTGTGCTTAGGGACATGGTTTAGTGGTGGACTTGGCAGTGCTGGGTTAACGGTTGGACTTGATGATCTTAAAGGTCTTTTCCAACCTAAATGATTCTATGATCTGACTTCCAAGGGTGCTGAGTAAGTTTGACCAGGAGGTGCAATCAGCAGTCTTCTGAAATGCAGCTTTATAATCATGCTGGTGGGGGGAAGGGGGGAGAAAAACAACCAAACAAACCACCTCCTCCCCCAAAAAACCCAAACTGATGATCTTTTTCCTTCTTACAGTTACTTTGGAGAACAGAACTGAGTTCTGGAACTTGCTGCAAATGTTGAAGGTAGGTATTATGTCCTTTCTTGGAAACATACTAAACCTCAATGTGTTACCAAAACAGTCAGCGTCTGGGTAGAAGTCCTTGGGTTGGTACATCTTGTCCTTCTCTTGTGGGCCATGGACAAATAAAAAAAAAAAAATTAAAATGCTACTAGTGCATACTTGCAGAAAGAACTTAAAATTCAGTATTTTTTCATCTTTTTTGCTGACAGGCCTTTATTTTAGGTGGAGTGCTTTCAGGTTCCTCTATTCTGCTAGTGCAGCAATTTTTGTAAGCAACCTTAAGCAATCTTCTGATTAACTTTTTTATTTCACTTCCTAAACTGCCTTTCTCAGCTCCCAAAGTGCATCTTTTTAAGGGCAGCTGTCAGTCAGAACAAGACACTTTTATTGAGAGCTTACACTTACGTATATTAGGGTGCCTGAGATTATCAAAACAGGCTCTCGTACTACTGCAGTCTGGCACAAAACGCTACTGAAAAAATGAGTCACCGATGTGCGAGGTAATGGGATTTTGTCTTAGGCATAATGAATAAAGAAATAAAAAGATTGATTTCAGTAATCCAAGCAAAAAATTAATGCTGAAACCTGAAGTCTTTTTAAAAAGTCCTTCTAAACTAACTTTCAGGAAGCGCAGCAGTGGAATGCTTTGCCCTGTTTCCCAAGACAAGATCTAACTTCCTTGAGCACCGTGTTCCAGCTGGTAACATAGCAGACAAAAAGGAAAAACACAATTGAGCACGATGTGACTTTTTAGTTGGTTTCTGCTGTGTTTATGTGCTAGCATGATGGCAAAGGAACTTGACCTCCAAGGCAGTGAGCTGCTAGGGAGCACGGGTATCGATATATCCTAGTAGCTCTGTGCATCACTGTCCTTTCTTGGGTGATGTGGTGCACATGAGCCTCTGCTGTGCCGGTGGTGTTAAAACAAGTGGTAAGAGAAGCTGTGGCTCCACGTAGATAGTATTGTGAAACTCTGAGAGGCTTTGCAGTGACTAATAGCTTGACAAAATCTGGCAGTGCTAAATGGTGGAAAATGTCCTCATTAAATGGGCATTATGAGGGCCAAAGGTGCCATTAACCAAGCGGGTAGCTGCTGGCTGCAAAATGAGCCATTTAATTGGGAAAAGTCACTGCCTACCAGCAGGCTTTGGAAAAGAATGCTAACAAGGTTGTTGGGGATACGGTTATGCAAAGAGGCATGCCTTAAGATGTGACTCTTCTATTTAAGTTTCCTGACTTCTTTTAACCCTGAAATACATATTTGAGTTTTTTCATCAGACTTCACTCACATCAAGGGTCCTGTAGGGGTAGTGAGTGCCTAATGAGTCTCTCTTTAGAACTTCACTGTGTGAGGCATAGGATAGCTATTAAAATTTTCCAAACAGCATTTGCTGCTAGCCGTCTTCCCGAGACTGAGCAGCCACCCCAGGCTGTGAATATTGCTTTACTGAAAGAATTCCCTGGCTTTCAGCTGTGGAAAAGATTAATATTTTGTATTAAAATGGTTTTGAGAGAAATTAAAAGTCTTTCTGCACATTAACTTAGCCTTTCACCATTTAGAACTGGTTTATGTCATGGCTTTGAACGCTGGAATAAGCCCAGCTTTTCTTTCTCTGCACTATTAATAGCTTGCCTCTGCGCTGAGGTTGGAAAACTCACCTTTGATTTTTAGGGAGCCTAGGAGTGAAAGAGTAACCAAGAGCAGGCTCCAGCTATCGTGCTGTTAAATTATCCCTTTCCTAAACTCGCCGGAGTGCACTGTGCCTAGCCAGAAGATTTTCTTCAAAACCTTTCTGATCTAGTGGCAAAGAACCTCTCCTAAATTAGTCTTAATTTATTAGTTACATCTGCCTTCTGTCACTGCTTTAGCTCCTGATCCACGCAAGTTTGCAGGCACTCGGCTTCCTCTGGCTGCAGTGAATACAGCCAGTGCGAGTTAAGGTGTTCCCGTGGTTCCGGACTGAAGTAAATTGCTTTCTGAAGCTTCCCTGTGAATCATCATAACCGAGCCCAGCTAATGACTTCCCTAAAATTCGGTTTCATTTTATGAAGCTTTTTTATTTCTTCGGGGATGTGAAAAATCTTTGGACGGTCCCAAGACAAACCTGATGTAATTCATCAATTAGCTGAAAATGTTGCCTCTGAAACTAAAAGCAATTCTCTGTCCCGACTAGCCGCAGTGCCTTAGCTCAGACACTGTACCATAGCGAACAGCAGGAGTCTGGATGGTATGGATTAATTAGCTTCTTAGTATTGCCATTTATTGCTAACTTGTGCTGGCTCTATTTGAAGTTGTCTAACATCCTGGGCCTTTTTTTATTTGCAGATCATGCCTTGAGTTTTAGAATTTCTAGCAAACCTGGCTACAGCAAAAGAAATGGTTGGCAGTGGCTGCATTTGAAGATTCCTAAAAGTTCGTCTTTTCTCACACGTGGGTTCAAGCACACCACAGCCAGTGAAAGTGCATGCGATGCTGCTTGCGGTTCTGAATATTTGCTGCAATATGTGCTGCAACCTGTGCACTCAAATGTCAGTTTAGAAAAAAAAATGAGTTGTTCTGCTCCAAGTGTCCTTTCTGCTTTTGCTGTACTGTTGAATAGCCGTAAGAGTTGTAATCTTGCCCTTCTCCGGCTCGGCTCGGCTCGCACGCTGTTTTCACAGCCGTATGCTAAAGCACTGCTGTTTCAACCCATGTTTTCGCTACATGGTTAAGGAGGACTTTAAAAAAACCAAAACCTAAATAAAGATGCCACCTACAGTAAGTCTGAAATGATTATGCTTGTGTATTTGTAGCGCCCCAAGTAATATTAACTTTTAACCATTCTAGGATTTAAGACTTTTATTCGTGGATATGGGAACTGGGATGGGTTTTGACTTTAAACACTGAAAGGTAGAAGTCTTGCTGCTTACCTCCATCCCCTTGTAGCACAATTCTACTACGCTGCTAAAGCAGCAGCATCTGGTGAGATCAGACTGTCAGTCTTGCAGTGTTCTGGCTCTTCCTCTTTTTCCAGCTAATGTGGGAAATCTGGAGAAGGCATTATGAGCATAAAATAGCTTTGCCTTTAGTCATTTTTCTCCCATATTGTAGTGTAGCTTGTAAACCGTAAGCACGTGTCTGAAAACACTTGTGCTTTTTGTTAGTGACGAGCAAAACTCGGTGCTCTTGGGGGGTGTGAGTCATAAATGATTCCTGGAGTGTCCACCGCTGTTACTGGGCTGTGCAGATCAGTAACGTGGTAATGTGACAGCTCTTGTCAGAAGTGTCTTTATTTGAGTAAAGCTGTCTTGGCTAGTTCTTTAAAGTACAGGGGCTGTCTTTCTCCTTGAACTTCATCTTCCATCATAAATGCTTAAAGAGATTCTGATATTTAAGAAGATGCGGATAAGGAAGGAACGTGGTGGTTTTCCTCCGCTTTTCTAGGTGCTTACCTGCTGCTTTGTCTAATACTGCTTTTGGGGAAGGGAGCAGCGGGGATGAGATGCAGCGGGAATGCCACTTTCTGGGCAAAAGTTACTAGTAGATCTTAAAACACAGAGAGGAGGGTGAAAAATGACTTTCCTGAAAATCTGAGGAGAGGATTTGGCAGGGTTGTTAGGTTCCTTTTTCTAATAGCAGAAGAAAATTAATTAGTCAGTGGAGCTGGTTGCCATGGGAATGCAGGACAACAGACGAGGAGCTGGGGTGGCTGCATGGAGCCTCATTACCGAATTCCAGTCCTCGCCTTCGCCCTCCACCAGACGCTCCCCTGCAGGTGAACCCGCACCACCCCGGTGCGGTGCCTGGAGGTGGGGCCTTGACCATCTTCGCGGGGTCCGTACTGAATGAAGGGGGACTCCAGCGGGCTGAGGAACTTGCCGCACTTCGAACGCGGAAACCTGACAAATGCTCGACCTTACCCACGGATGAATTGTGTTGGGAAGCCAACTCCTCTGCGGGAAGCGAGCTACGCTGGCTCCGTGCTAGATTTAGAGCACTGTTGACACTGAAACGTTTCCTCCATAAATAACAGTGAGAGGTAATGATGATCCTATAGAACTAATAGAAGGAAATACTGATATCTCTCCTCCAAAGGACTCATAAATTTGCAGCCGTGACACTACCGATTGCCTTCACAGGCCATATATACTGACAGATGTATTTTTTTTCTTGGTGATTGTGTTTCAGATATACGCTCCACTTCACTAAGCAATTGTTGGCAAGAGCCCTGGCATATGGTCCATCAGCAGGAATAGGGCTGTGCTGGGAACAGACCAAGCTCGGGGTAGTTTACATAAACTCTTCCTCTCTACCCGTAGTTTTAAAAGGTTGCTATAATTGAGCTTTTAAAGGAAACAGACTGGTTAGAGACCCGGTAGTATTTACACAGCCAAACAAATGTCTTGAAACGTGCTGAAAGCTTGCCTGGAAATTCATTTTAATAATGGGAGAAGCACTGGATTATTCTGGTATTAATCTTTAACCTCTGCAGTGCAAGCCCAGCTTAGTTTTAGGAGAATTAAACCGAGAGGTTGGCTTATCCCTGCACTGAGTAATGTGGGAAGTAACACACGGAGCGCATACGTTAACCGGTCAGGATTGTTCATGTTGTAGCCCTTTTCCTTTAAGCTATTCTTGGCCCTAGATGCTTCCAAAGCCGACACATGAGAGGGAATGGCCTGTGCTGCCAATTTCAGGCTGCCGGCAGGAGCAGCCGGGTGGGAGCCTCGCACGAGCCGTCACATCTCTGTCTGGGGTCAGGCACTTAAAAAAAGGAATGAAAGAATTGCCAGGATTCTCCACTGTGGAAAAGACAGCTTATCTGCTTCCTAAGTTACAGCTGGATCTGGTGACAGATGACTCAATACTTAAGGAGAGACTTTTGAATAGGGAAATCTACCACCTTCTCCTTTTTAGATCACGAGCAAGCTGGTACTTAAAAGGCTGCCGTTTCGCTATTGATGTACTGGTGTGATTCACGTAAAAGCTATTTATTTACATCAGAGATGTTCATCAAAAGAAGATGTGACAAGTACAGCATGAATGATTCATTCTCGTCTCTCTGCACTGCTTTCCTGTTAATCAAGAAACGGTTAGATGCGTCCAGCTGGGCTCCGCTTCCTTATCGCTTTCCATGTCATCTTCTTCCCCCAAGCCCGTTCAGCCCGGCTCCCGGTGTCCCAGCTCCACAGCATGCTCTTGCCGACTGTATCGATGATCCTGCTGGGCGGTGGAAGTCTTGATGCTTGGTTTTCCATGAAGGAGAAGGGGCTACAGCTGTGCTGAACTCCCTGCGTAGGGTGTATTTTTTCCTGTGCGGGAGAGGATGGAGAAACAGGCCTTCAACCCTCGGACTTTACTCCAAGATTGCAGATTCTAAACTCCAGGGCCGTGCTTCCCCTGTTAGGAATATTTGGTGTTTGAAATCTTCTTCCAGAGCAAGGTCTTGAGGTTGTTCAGCACGAGGGAGTGGTGCACTTCCATCTGGCTGGCCAGGCCACTGAGGGTCATGCAAGTTCGGAGCTGTTTCTGCAGCTCTTCTTTCAGCTCCAGTGGTGCTCCGTACAGCAAGTAGTCCTGCAGCAACCCACAGACCTTCGCCAGGTTGGGCTGCACCATGTCGCTTTTGCACTGCTTCAGGAGTTTGTCGCAGGTCGCCATACAGTCCTTCCCGTAGGTGCAGTCCACGTTCTGCTCACAGTGACGTCCCTTGAGGAAACCTCTGATTGTCATCTCCGTTGCCACCTTCCTCAGGTTGACCATTTTGAAGTCGTATTTGTCATTGTAGCCCACGTTCTTAAAGCTGGTCTCGCAGATGTAGAAGTTCCCGTAGGTCCCGTGGAATATCTCCTCCACGAACTCCAGAAGGCCGATGGCGATCTTTGCCCGCCGGGGCCACGCTGGTGCAAACCACTGGTGGATGATTTGGTGGACGACTGAAGGCAGCAGCGACTGGAGGAAGGGGGGGACATCCACTCCATAGAGGGAGGTGTGGGGGATCTTCTCAGTGACGTAGAGATCCCCGCAGTGCCCCAGCAGCTTGGAAGTGTGCTCTTTCTCGTGCAAGGAGAGCATGAGAAGAAACTCATTGAGCTGCAGTAGTGCCCAGATGGATTTGGCCTCTGCTAAAGACACCTTCCCATCCCGGTTCACATCTGCCATGGCGATGATCCGGCTCACCAAGGCTGCAAGAGAAGGCTGGTCTCCCAGGTTGGACTGCGAACAGAACAAGAAGCGGCATCAGCCCCTCGCAGCTCTCTCTGTTCGGGCTTCACATCGCAAAACTGAACTGGGGAAGCAAAGAACTGAGCTTGGGGGAGGAGGAAACAGCCACCGTGCTCAAGCAAATTCAGTGCCATGCCATAGCGGTACGGTTGGACGGATTCAGCTCCAGCAGAATTTTACCAGCCTCAGGGCTGCTCTAGACCCGGGCGGGAGCAAGCTTTTGAGAGCAAAGGCCGGGCAGCGCTGCCGTCCCACCGCTGCAGCAGAAGCCCTGCGCAGGGGTAACTGCTGCCGCGGTGCCAGCACTGCCAGGGCCGCCCGCGCGTCTGTGAGTAAGCTCTGCCCAGCACAGATGCCACCCGCAGCCGCAGTACAGCGGCCTCCAGGGTTGCTGCTATTAAAATCTTGCAAATGAGAATTCCTGTGCGAGAATGGAGGTTTTTCTTGGCTAATCCAGTACTTGCTCTGCAGTATATGGTAAGGAGCCCTGCCCGGCGCCCAGCAGCTGACGGGGGAGCATGGGCCAGAGGAGCTCTCATTTAAGAGGAAGGAAAAACATGTTTAGTCTTTCTGAATCACAAGTGGCAGCCCAGGCCCGCAAGATCCCGGAGGGACCCTCCGCACTGACCTTTAGGAAGTTCAGGAGCATTTCTTTGAACTCATCCATCGATGTCCCTCGTGTCGGTTTGTCAAAGAGGACCATGTCCCTTCTGGGCACAGAGTCTGGGTGGCTGTCTGCCTTCAAGGCTTCTTCGATGCCGCATTTGATGATCACCTCCCTCTCCCTCCAAAGCCCACTGTAAACCTACAGCAAAGGAGAGGGGACACAGCGGAGGCAGGAGGAAAACAACAGCAAGTGCAGAGAACCGGTTTCTGGTTTGGTTCAGGATGGGCACCGGGGATGGGGTGAGGAGCAGAGATGCGGGTGGGTGGAGGAGGACGTTTCCCGGGTTTGATGCTTGCACCCATCCCCTGCCGTGCGGTGGTTTCCCCGGCGGGGCAGAGACCTACCTGCTGGGTGGGAGAGGAGGAGAGGCAGTGCTGGAAGAGGAGGCTGCGCTCCTCACACAGGTCTTTGCACGTGGAGCCAGAAATTATTCCTTTCTTGTACTGGTCACACTGGGGAGGGGAAGGCAGAGAGAGGAGCTCAGCAGGGGCAGCCCCCATTCACCCAAAGAAGTCCGACGGATCCAGGCGCGGTCCTACAGCTTGTGATCTGGGGCACCCCAAGCACACGAGCTGGGGGCGTGCGAGCCCCCCCGGCCTCCTGTGCCGCCGCCAGCCCTGCTCCCGTCACCTGCCATGCCCAAACTCCTCACCCCCCGTTCCTGCAGCAGGGCTGGGGGCTGGCTCTTCGGTTTTTCAATTTACCGTGTATAACTGAAAGCATCATCAATGCCATCGCGTCCCCGGTGAGCCCGTTTCCTCTGAGTTCTTGCGAGTCTCTTATACAAGAGAAAAACACCCCTTAAAAGAGACACACCTGATTGCAAAGCCACGCAGGCTGCTTGGAGGCAAGAACAGTATCTCCAATTGCCAACAATTTATTTCTTTCCTGGGATTCTGAGGTTCTCGAGCAGAGAGGGGCTGCTCGGGGTCACCACCCCAATATCACTTTGGCCTTGGGTTTGGCAGCCCACGAGGTGCCGCCTGCCACGGGGGACCCCGGCCGTGCCGGCATGGCATGCAAGTGGCTTCGGGCGATGTCTGCATCATGGCAGCCATTTCGGCCAGTTCAGGGTTTCTGGGAGGGAGGCGAGCGCCTTGCACTCAGACTTTCATCAGGGAGATGTAGTGCCAGTTGCTCAGAGTCCAGCCCCTTCCAGCACCCCCAAACTCCCCATTCTCTTGTCTTCCAAAGAAATCCCAGCCCAAAATCTCTGCTCGAAGATTTCTACTGGCCCCAGAGCAAGGACTTTAATGGGGGAGACAGGGGGAGAGGAGTGTGTGGGCACACCTGGGGCTGAGCCCCAGCCAAACGGGCAGCAGCCGTGGGCAGAGCTCCTGGCTGCAGGCAGGGCCCTTTGGGGCGGCTCGGTGCCTTGGGCTGGGCTGGCAGGGACCCCCCCGTGCTGCTGGCAGGGACCCCCGGTGGTGCTGGCAGGGACCGCAGGGGATTTGCTCCTGGGTGCTCCTGCTGCAAGTCCAGGGGGTTAGGGGAGCTTCCAGGGCTGGAGGAGAGGGCAGCGTGGAGCTGGGCGAGGATGAGGGTGCACGGGCTGAGGCTGCTCAGCAGAGCAGTAGCCCCTGCTGTGAAATGGGCTGGCCCCGGTCCAGGCGGTGGCGGGGACAGGGACAGACGGTGGCTCTGATCCGCAAGCGGGGCAGCTGGGCTGGGAGCCGGAGGCATCCCTGGGCAGGAGAGGCTGCAGCTCTGCAGCTTCTAGGCAAGGGCACAACAGCCTCAGGGCTGGAAACAGGAGCTGCAGAAATTCACTGTATCTTTTCCCTCGCTGGAAACAGGAGCTGCAGAAATTCACTGCATCTTTTCCCTCTTTTTTTTTCCCCCTACGTGGATGGGGATTAACCCTCAGACCTGCTCACAGGGGACACGGCCAGACACGGCGTCTTAAACCCCCAGCTCAGAGCAGGAATTAGTGCCTGAGACCCCGTGGTCAGAGTCATGCAGAAAATCAAATTAAACGATCGTCGCTGTTGTTATGGCAATTCCTGCCTCCCTTCTCTGCTGAAGGATTGATGAACGAGGCATTTTCAGACAGAGCCTGGCATCCCCATCCTCGCCTGGGCTGGGTGGGCGACCTGCTCCCCTGCCATGGGGCACACACAGCAGTCCCGGGGGGGTCCGCTTGGCTGCCGGCCCCGGGGATGCTGTGGGGAGCAGGCTGTACCCCACTGCAAACCCAGGCAGGGGCAAAACGCATCGAGCCAAGCTCTCGCGAGGGGTCTGCTCTTCGTGCAGGCTGGTGCTTTCTTTAGGGCACGTCAGCAGTCACAGAGGTACCCAGGGACTGGCTGCTCCCCTTTTTTCTCTGGCTCTGCGGAGCTCAGGGGGGGCTGGTGCGATGATCTCCCTGCCCGCAGATCCTGCTCTGACATTGCAACTTCATCTCCACAGACATTAATCTGCTCACGTCTGCCTGGCCTGCCCTGGCCTGCTTCCCTCCGACATCTCATTAAATTGTTTCGCCACCGCCCTGGCAGGATAAGGTCACCTCTCCTGCTCCGAGCTCCGCGTGACGCTGGGGACGGTGCCGGGGAAGCAGCTGCCAGGAGGGCTCCTCGGCCCAGCTCTTGTGCAGGATGCTGCCCCGGTGCTCCCTGCCCGGCTGCAAAGCACCACATAGGGCTTGGGGGGCTGGAAATGGGGCTCCCGCAGCCCCGCTCACCCCGGTACCCCGAACAGGGACCAGCGTGGCCACAGGGGCTGCTGGCCGCCACTCACGATTATCATCCTGCAGACGTGGCCGCGGCAGAGCTCGGAGTAGGACGAGTAATGCATGTACGCCACCCAGCTGCCCACGAAGATGCCCAGCCACACCACCAGCAGGTATTTCACCTTGATGCCCGGGAGGCGACTCTGGAAGAAAAAGAAAACGCTGGTGAAGGCCGGGGCTCTGCACGGGTCAGCAGTGGCTGGACAAGGACAACTTCTTCTATACAAACCAACCTGAGCATCGGTGAAACCTTCAGCCTTTTTTATATATATTCACCAGACTATTATGCAACTCCTGCTGCAAGTAGGTCACTTAAAATTCCCTAAAAGCAGGGAGATTACAGCGCTGGGCTGTGAGGAGCTGGCTGCCAGGCATCCCCGTGCCCACGAGCCGCAGCCGCATACGCCCGCTATCCTGCCAGCGCGAGGGCAGAGCCCGCTGTCCTCTGCAACCCTGGGGTTCACCGTCAGGGCTGCGAGAGGCTCTGCTCCTGCCGGGGGCGACCCTTCTCAGCAGACCCCCCCCCCCTTGCAAAGCCCCACGGGCACAGGAGGCTGCCGCCATCAGCTTCCACGTGGGAGCGGGCAAGTAATGAACCTGGAAGCGCACGGATAATACTCCGTGCAAATGTCTCGGAGGCTCGCAGCATGATTTTCTTTTCCTGGCTTCATTTCTTCCCCTCTGCCCCTGTAACAACAGCGCTGCTGCCATCTGGCCTCCCCGCAATATAGGTTGTTTATATGCCTGTATGTATACCTGACCCGTGTAACGCAGCGCAGATCCCCAGTGGTTCCTAAGGGCAGGGAATTAATCCTTGCGTCAAACACCCCATTCCCTCTGGTTTCTATAGATAATTCCTGCTTCACGCCAGGCCAAGAGAGCCCCTGGCCAGTGGCCACCTCCAAACCCTCCTCTCTCCTTGCACCGCATCAGCTGGTGAGACCACGACCTGCTGCTGGAATAGGGCTAGATCCGAGTGGATACAGCACCGTTACAACCTGCCAGGGATCCTCACGTGGGTCTTGTAGCCCAAACCAGCTCCCACCTCCAAAATGCCTCCTCCCTGGCCCCTTGCCGAGTGCTGTAAGGGCTCTGCCCCACGGCAGTAACCGGAGGCGGTGGAGCCTCCTGCCCTCCTGCCGCACTGGCTGCAGCCAGTGGCTCAGCTGGCCCCAGCCCCAACAAACGGGCTTCACAGGAATCGGCAGGCAAGGGTGAAAGCAGGCAGGTCTGCCTCGAGGTCATGACATCTTGCGTGTTAATCGGAAATGCCGAAGTGTGAAGCGGGCCACGATACCCGGTTTGCCTGTCGAGCAATGGCACCGCTCATTAACGCCTGTTAAAGAGAACCCGACCACGGCGAGGACTTGGCAAAGACAAAGGATGCATGGCTGCTCCTGTGAGCTGAAAACCAGCTCGAGTCCCTGAAGTCAGATACACACCACCGCGACCCGTGAGATCCTCCCCAGCGCAGCAGCCCCTCGAAAACTGCCCAGCGGTGGGTATGTGACCCACCAGGCCCCCTGCCCTCAGCAAAGGGGCCCTTTCCGTAGGCTTCCCACGAGAGACAGGTCTTGGGGCGGCAAAGCCCTGGAATGGCCAAAATGTCCCTTTTTGCTTATTCAGACCTAGAATCCATCATGCTCCCAGGGCAGAAAGGGGGTCAGGACTGCGACCTGAGCACAGCGCGGGGAACGCTGGCTTCATCGTCCCCTAAATGGTGGAAAGAAACGTGGAGGTGGGGGATGCATTGCAACGAGAGGTTCCACTGGGAATATTTTGGATTCATAGCTGGTGCTAAGGTTTCCTCCAGGGGCTCAATCTCAGGGCACAGGGGTTTCCCTGCCCACTGCCTTCCTTGCCCGCTCTCCTGGCTGGCAGCCTGCGCCAAAGGGTGTTACCCTTTGCTTGTGTTATTTTAGGGCGACTGTGGTGGACCTGGAAGTGACTTTGTGCTGGAGCTGGCTTCAAAGGCAAAATGGACGCAGCATCACAAAATCCTGCCCCGTCCCCACTGCTCCCCTGCAGCGCCCTGGGAACATGGGGGTTGTTTCGCGGTGGGTCCCGGTGGTGGGGACCATGCCAGGGCTGGCGTGCTCCCAGGGGCAGCTTGGCGTGGCTGTCACACACACACACCCCCCATGGGGTATCCGCGCAGGCGATCCCGGCGCAAGGGCTACCCCCAGCTCCCACCCACCCTCACTCTGCACCCAGCTTCGCCCTCCCTGCCAGACCCAGTCCCCAGCCCCTGCCCACCGCCGCGGCCCCACGCAACTGCTCCCCACGCCTTT